ATAGTTATTAAACTGTATAAAAGGGTAGTTATGCGAACCATAAATATGGTTACATTTTTATAGATATAAAATTGATAACGTTATTAATTATTTAAGTTCATAGAAACGTCACTGTAGCATGGTAAGGTTTTTGTTGAGTCACTTTTCAAGTGACTTTCAGCTAGAAGCATATTGAAGACTTTACAGATACATCTTTTAAGTAAAGCCTTAACTTTTCTGAGCGTGGCTTGGGAGCCTCGGTGTACGAAGTTCTAGACCCAGTTGTGAATTATAATCAATACATTTAAGTGAATTCCTTATTGTTGCATACTTTTGTGTGGAAGGTTTTACGTTAGGATAACTATTTACTATTGCAATAACAAATTACACACATCACTATGTTAATAGTGGCTTAACTATTAAATAGTATACAAAGCAAAAATAGTAAATAGTAAATAGTAATAGTAAAGTACAGTTTTTATAATTACTGAATTTACTGCATTTGTCAATTTTACCAACCAAATTTTTTTTGTTTGCAAATAAAAACAGTTTAATATTTAAACAAAAACCCTTGGAGGTTGTACCTGTGGAGGAAGAGAATATGATCAAAAACAACGATGCTGTAATCATTTTTTTTATTATTTTACCATTATTTATCCGATCGTTCCTATAGCAGCTAAAGGGTGTTCCACGAAAGATTTGCGTTTTAAAATCGCTATAAAAAAACAACGAGTTTATATTTTTCAAAAAAATTTTTTTATTGGATAGCCTCAACATTGCTGATGGCGACTTCAATCTCGAGCGTTAGGTCATCAATCGTCTCTGGGTGGTTGGCGTAACACTTATCCTTTACGGCACCCCACAAAAAATAGCCCAACGGGGTCAAATCGCAGCTGCGAGGCGGCCAGTTGACATCGCCGTTTCGGCTGATTATGCGATTTTCGAACGTACCGCGCAAAAGATCGATTGTAACGTTGGCTGTGTGGCACGTAGCGCCGTCCTGCTGGAACCATATGTCGTCTATGTCTTCCTCTTCCATTCGGGGAATGAAAAGGTCTTACGGCGGCTCCTTCCTCGTTTTCAAAGAAAAACGGCCCAATGATGCCACCCGACCACATACCGCACCAAACAGTCACTCGATGTGGATGCATTGGCATCTCCAAGGCGACGTGTGGATTTTCTGTACCCCAAATGCGACAGTTTTGCTTATTAACGTAACCGCCGAGGTGGAAATGGGCCTCATCAGAAAACAGGATTTTTCGGTAAAAATGGTCATCTTCGACCAAGCGCTCCAGAGCCCATTCCGCGAACCGAAAACGCATTGGATGGTCATGAGGCTTAAGCTGCTGAACCAAGTGAATCTTATATGGCCTTAGACGGAGGTCTTCGGTTAAAATCCGTTGCAGGGAAGTGCGCGAAATATCCAACTCTTGAGCACGGTGCAGAGTTGACGTCGACGGACACTTTCGGCCACCGCAGCGATATTTTCGACCGACCGAACTGGACGAGCGCGTAAACGTGTTGTTTTATCCATCAACGATCCAGTCTCACGCACACGCTTCACAAAACTATCCACAAACTGCCTGGAAGGCGCTTTATTTTTTCCGAATTTTGACCGAATTTTGACAAATTATATTTTCCAGCATTTCTTTATACTTTAAAATTACCACTACACGAAGGCCCGGGGTGTGAGCAAAGTATGATTTTGAACTTTAAGAATGGTAGAGTGCCCCGTGACCGACAGCACCACAAGGAACTCTAAAAGTTAATGATCCACAGTCAAAGAGCCCACCACTTCGGTATCGATATTTGGCAGCTTCATTTACTATCTGGTCAAAGCTCGGAAATATGTAGTCCGCAAATTGAATTTCCGCTATTGCGGTAGTTCCAGTATTTGCCACACCAATCGCAAAGCTATAAAATAAATGTATTAAAATCGACGAGCTGGCTCCACCTGGCGCAGAAAATTTTCATTGGTCTTATCTTTTAATAAAAGGTCTGATTTCATAAATTTGTATCATGTAGATGGTTATTGAGCGTTGCATGTGAAATTGGAGCATAGTTGCATTTTAGTTAAGTTAATTAATTAAGTTATTTCAAAACAAGAAAGCAAGTTATATACCCTTGCGGTTATAATTATAAAATTTAATTCAAAATTCTTAAAAATACAAAAAAATTATATTCCCAATAGCATAAGATAATATGTCAAAAAACACCGAAGCTATAATTTGTTTCATATTATTTTCCCATTAATTTTCCAATCGTTCCTATGGCAGCTTTATGATATAGTCGTCCGATTTTGATAAAACTAAATTCAAAATTCAGAACTAACTAAAAAGTTTTATTTCAAAGAGTAGGAGGTTATATGTTAAATAATACACCAAAGAAATAATTTTTTTTAATTTGTTTTTTCCGATTAATACTATGGAAGCTACAAGATATAGTTGTCCGATCCGGCTGGTTCCGACTTATATACTACCTGCAAAGGAAATAAGACTTTTGGGAAAGTTATAGCCTTTATGGGGTCGGAAACGACTGCATCACTGCGTTGGAAACTTCTGACTGAAATCATAACACCCTCTGCAAGGGTATAAAAATATAATTAGGCGAACTTTTCAAAACGGGAATTTGTGTCGTTTTGTTTGTCATTTCGTGAATATCCAATCTCTTTTTCAGGATCCTAAAAGTATTATGTGTTAAACAGCTCGAGAAAACAGATATAAATAATAAATACGCCGTTGAAAAGGTATTTTGAAATCCTAAACACTCCTCAATAACGTAATTTTGTAAGTAAAAAAAGTGTAAAAATTGTGACAAACGTTTTTGTGTCGTACTTTAAAGACTTGTTTGGTTGGATTGTTGGAAAAAGTAACGCTTGTAACTTCTTAGGCAAGTTATTATTTCTAGCATCACAGCTGTGAGGGGCACAGTTTTATGCTGAGCATTATTAGCCTAGCCTTTAAGTCTAGATCGAATCCCCAACCGCAAACCTTCTACTAAATATCTCTCACATTGACAATAACATTCGAAATGTCAAAGTTAAAATTGTCGATAGTTCAAAAACCAAATGCTAGATGAGCCACCCGGTATAGAGGTCGCTGCTCGTGTACATAGGAAATTCCATAGGACAAATCCAGGGGGAAATATTACCTTAGAAGCGAGCGCAAATCATTCCAGTTTTAAAACAATCTTATATATATAAATTTGTTCTCCCCGATCACTTAAAACCTAATCAAAAGGTAAGAACTCAGTTAACGTTGCTAGTGAAACAAAATACAGTTTTAACTATACTTAAATATGTCAAAATAAAAAAACATTAGCAGATTGTAATTCTTAAATTGTCCAAATAATAATGATTAAAATAAATAATAATGTGTAACGTTCAATGACCTTTAAAAGCATATAAATAAATATATTTTAATGCAAGAAGTAAAAAAAATATTTGTAAAAACTTGTAAATCGAAGTTTTAAAAAAAAGTGATTTATTGCGTACTATGTTAAAATAACGGTAAGTATATTGAAAAATTGGTAGAAATTTAGTTGTAGGTTTAAGAAAAGTAATTTTTTTTTTGGATCAATCGATAGGTATCGACGAGACCAATACATTTCAGTTAAAATTTTTTATCTAGCATGAAAATTGTGGGCGTTACAGGTTTTCGCGGTTTGTGGGCGTTAAAGTGGGCGTGGCAAACTTTTTTTTGGGTCAATCGATAGGTATTGATTAGAACAATACATTTCAGTTAAAATTTTTATTCTAGCATCAAAACTGTAGGAGCCACAGTTTTGGGCGGTTTGTGGGCGTTAGAGTGGGCGTGGCACTGTGCTGAAACAAACTTGCGCTGCGTAAGAAGCTCAGGAATCTGCACGCCAAATCTCAATAGCCTAGCTCCCATAGTTTCCGAGATCTCAGCGTTCATCCGGACAGACGGACAGACGGAAATGGCTAGATCGACTCGGCTAGTGATCCTGATCAAGAATATATATACTTTGTGGGGTCGGAAACGCTTCCTTCTGCCTGTTACATACTTTCCGACGAATCTAGTATACCCTTTTACTCTACGAGTAACGGGTATAACTATTGTTTACTGTAGTTTTTCTAACATATGGCAATATAAAAAGATCTATATATATCATTATATCTCAATCTCAATATATGATTATGTGGGCGGTAGACAAATTTTAGGCGATATGGGCGTTTTTCTATAATGAAAATTGTGGGCGCCACAGGTTTGGGCGGCTTGTGGGCGTTAGAGTGGGCGTGATATATTCGCGTAACAAACTTGCGAACGCTCAATAGCCATTTACATGCTACGGAATCTAAATCTGAAATCCCGCTTCTCTATCTTTGGTAGTTTCCGAGATATCCGCGTTCATACTTACGATTTTTTGAAGTTTGTGGGCGGTTTGTGGGCGTGGCAAACTTTGGGTCAATCGATAGGTATTGATGAGAACAATACATTTCAGATAAAGTTTTTATTCTAGCAGCCATACTGTAGGAGCCGCAGTTTTTGGCGGCTTGTGGGCGTTAGAGTGGGCGTAACAACTTGCTGAAACAAACTTGCGCTGCGTAAGAAGCCTAGCCCTAATAGTTTCCGAGATCTCAGCGTTCATCCGGACGGACAGACAGACGGACATGGTTAGAACGACTCGGCTAGTGATCCTGATCGAGAATATATATACTTTATGGGGTCGGAAACGTTTCCTTCTGCCTGATACATACTTTTCCAAGAATCTAGTATACCCTTTTACTCTACGAGTAACGGGTATAATTATGTTCCCAATAATGGAAGGTAATATGTCAAAAACACCGAACCTATACTTAAAAAATTGGGTCTTCGAGAACAATATTATGCCCTTCAAATTTTTATGGAGTCGTTGTATGGAGTCGTTTTGTAATATATGTACAATGTACATAGGTGCTAAGGCCTGGAAAATTTCAAAAAGCTTAAAAACGTTCACTTTAAATAAAATTGTAATTAAAGTAAATTTTTCTCCACGCACAATGGGGAAGTACATGTACGAACGAAACGGTTGAGTTACTCAACGATTAGCTTCATCAAATCTATTTATCTGCAACAAAGGTAATGACCCCACTTTCATCACTAGAAATAGGGGAAAAGTGGTAGATATTATCTGCTCGATCACCTTGAAACGTTGAGCGTGGGAGTCGAACACGCCTTTTTAAAACATCGCTATATAGAATCTCAGAAATCTAACTGGGACTACCATAAAAAACTTCTCACAAGAAACTTACATACTCACCCGTCGCCCGGACCTACATGACAGTCAATACATTATCTGTCATCTGTGGAAAGGCCATAAGAAAGGCTTGTCCAAGCAAAGCATTCAAGACAAAACACAAACCCCCATGGTGAAACTCAACCTAGCCGAATCTTAAATCAAGTGTAGAACTCACTTCAACATCTGCTTGCAGCTGCGGCAGTAGTCGTGGTTACTGAGTCCCAACCTGCGCGCGTGAGTCCCTAAAAGACAATGGCCCGTAAGGGCATTTAGGAGAGTAAAGATGTCTTCCCTATTGTATTTGGTGTAGAATAAAAACGTTTTATTTCCCAAATTGAGTGGACTGTATTTCAATGATTAAACTTTGTCACATTTTTCTTGTGTGTCCGATGCTTTCAGTTGTAGTCTTAACACTAAGTCCTAAAAAATCTCTAAAGTGTGTCGCAGCACAAAAATACATTAAAGAGGGCAAAGTTGGTATTTCATATACCAAAGATAGAATAAGATTCAAAATGAAATAACGGCTGTAATGCGTTCATCAACATCCCGGGCCGCCCTGAAACAATGTTTCAGAATTAGGCAGTACAGCTAACTTGGTGATAGGCCGGGTCATCTCTCCAGTAGACGTCTTAAGTTTTACAGCGCGTACAAGTCCATCTGGCCCAGGATGAGCTTCCACTACACGGGCTAGTATCCAAGCTGCTGGAGGGAGATTTGAGTCCTTGACGAGGACTACATTGTCTACTGCGATGTTGAGTTCCTTGCTGCTCCACTTTTGACGTTGCTGTAGGGATGTCAAATACTCTTGATGCCAGCGTTTCCAAAACCCTTGATACATCGATTGCAAGTGCTGCCAATAGTCCAGACGATTGATCGGCAAATGAGTCAGATCTCCTTCTGGAACAGTTGTGAATGGGCGTCCAATTAAAAAGTGGGCCGGAGACAAGTAGGGGAGGTCAGTGTCAGGTGTGTAGCATAGCAGTCGCGAGTTCACCACTGCAGTGATCTGAGCGATCAGAGGTTGCATGTGTTCAAAGGTTAGAACAGTTTTTCCCACAACTCGACGCAGATGCAATTTAACAAAGCGTACTGATGACTCCCACTTCCCTCCCCAATGTTGCGAATGGGGAGGTATAAAACTCCATTTGATTCCATCATCGGCCAGCGATTGTGCTAGATTCCGTTGATGCTCCTGCGAAGACAAAAGTTGCTGCATCTCATCTAATGCCCGTTTGGCACCAACAAAATTCGTCCCGTTGTCGCTGTTTTTGTAGTAAACCCAGTTGCTTACTCTTAGATTAGTAATGTTATCGGCGGGAGGACAGTCTAGAGCTATTATAAATTCTATGTACCGGTGATTTGAGAATGAGTGTTCGACCCCCACCTTCCTCGCTTCGAGTTGGATAAGCAAGGGATCAGATTTTAAGACTTCTAAGACATCCCTCTTATTTCTAGTGATGCAAGTTGGATGATTACCTTTGTTGCAGATGAATAGATTTGATTGAAGAAGATAGTCATAGAGTAAGTCACTCCTTTCGTTTGTGTCTGGTGCGCGGTGGGAGTTAGCGTCCCCTCCCAGGATGAGTTCCTTAGATGAGTGTGCATGTATTACAATGTTTATGCTATAACTTTCATGCATTCTCCAATACATGAAATTATAATATCCCCTGTTTATACAACACAGACAAATTCATGAAATGATATTAGTAAAGCTGTCAAATTTTTTGAATTTGATATAGAGCTCTATAAAGTAGTAGGCTGTGAAGTAGGCTGTGCCTTAACATTTCGTGCGTTGGGGCTGAATTTATAGTCAACTTTCGTGTGTTATCGAATTCATGAAAAGGCGTTTATGCACACAGGAATTTGCCATTTCATTATTTGATTTCATGAAATAGGCATAACATTAACACAGTATATGAGTTCTTGTGTTATGGTGTTTGGTAGTGGCCCGTCATAGTCGTGTGCCAGACAGAATGATGCTATGGTGTGATGAGTGTGTTCGTTTAGCTCCAGTCTGACCGTGGTGAGGTCGCCTTCGCTAAACTGTAGAAAAAGATAAGCGTTAATGTGTGTCTAGGTAAGAATGCAGGTTCTGGTTTTACCCTTACCCTTGGTGTAAAATAGCTTGTATAGGGGGGTTGATAAGCCACAGATGTTGTTACCAACAATCCATGGGTCTTGAATGAGGACTATTTTGCCTGTTGCCAGGCGGGTGAGTAGGGCAGCGGATGCTGCCTTGCCTCGGTCGAGACGGGATGTTTGCAGCCTCGCAAACTGCCAGCTTAACCCCGGGGTAGACCTCGTCAACCTTGTTGATGGCAGCCTTGTAAAGCGCTGCCGATTTTTCATCGTCAAAGGCTATCAGCTTCATATTGCCCTGGTACCACCCCGCATCAACGCATATACCAAGCAAAGGCAATACAAAAAACAAGGAAGAACGCTACAGTCGAGTGCCTCGACTATCAGATACCTGATACTCAACTAAAGGGACCAAAAAAAGATGGAGATATAACAAAAGCAAAGCGAGATTATAAGTCGCCACCTACCCGCGACATCGGTAGACAGATTTAAGTGTTATGGGCATTCTCTAATGCCTATTTACCTATCAGGTAAAATCGTTTTTGTATCATCAAAAATGTGGGCGCCACAGGTTTCGGAGGTTTGTGGACATGGCAACATTTCTTGGCACATTAGCGTAACAAACTTGCGCTGCGTACGAAGATAAGGAATCTAAATAAGAAATCTCAACTCCGTAATTCTAATAGTTCCCGAGATCACAGCATTCACACGGACAGACGGTCAGACGGACATGGCTAGATCAACTCGGCTAGTGATCCTGATTAGGAATCTGTATAATTTCTACCTGTTATATAAAATTCCCCGAATACAATATTCGAGTAACGCTAATGTATTATACGAGTAGGGAGTGTTCAGCTTCTGCAGTACCATGGAGCATACGGCAGAGGCTTCAGAAAAATCTTAGAAATTGAGCACATACAATTTAACAACTACGTAAATATTGCACAAAGTATTACTCTAGTTATCAATTAGCTCTCCTGAGTAATGCTGATGCGCCACATTTGAGTTCAGCGCTCTGCGCTTAGAACGACCAACAGTGATATGCTGACACTTCATATTCGAAGTGGAGTGCTGCGCTGTATGGAATGCTGAGTCGGCTTGCCGACCATGACTTTGTGGCGTGATGCATTGCTGCTTGGCTTTAAGGTTCCTATTGTAGACTCTGATTGCCTGTCTTGTACGAGCAATACGACAATACACTTGTCTGAATAAATTACATACTCCGGCAAAGCCTTTAAAATATATCTCTTATTATTGACTGAGCTTAAGGCCAGCAATAGCGGTAAAGTTTACCGCCAACCTAATCGTCGTTCCAGAACCTGGCCTAGCACGAGATACATCAGGAGAAGCAGTAGGACACAGAGCTGCACAGCGCAGACGCAGGACTACGCGGGACAAACCCTCCGATCTTTATCTTACACATCACACCATATCATCTCGACGAATATAGCATAACTTATAACTTTAACACTGAGCCCATAGCAGCATCAGGCCCTTAAAATCCCTTTGACCTGACGGTCGAAGATGAGTAACTACCTAATAGTCGAGGCCATAGACTGTTTTTCTTGTTTATTATACATCGAATTGCGCTCAGTCAAATTAGGTAATATATGTTTTAGTTTAAATCTATAATGTCACCCTTTGATTTTGCCGAATAAATGAATAGCCTACATTGAGTTTTGTGAGCTACAGCTCGTCAATCTTTGAAAATGTGGAATTTTTTAACAAATGAGTGTCTGAAAGCCGCCTGTTGATATCGTATACACAGCAATGTATAATTTTAACTTACCGTCAAAACGAACCAAACAAGCCATATTTGGACAACATTCATGGTAAAATTCATTTAATTTTATTATTGTTAGGCCGGTAACAGAATCGCGGCAGTATTAACACCTAGTACTCACATCGACGAAAACCGTAACCTAGCCATAGGAATGAGCGAGAGGCAAATACGAGGGCAGTCCGATAAGTACTTAGCCTCACCGCCCGATGGCGTCGCTATCGCAAGAGAAATTTACTATCGTGTAGTACTTTCTCGTAGACGGCTACTGTCGAAATTTCAGCCGAATCGGACTCGTAGTTTTGTTTTGACTGCGTGAGGAATCGGACGTGTCCGCGGATTTTAGAAAAATGGAGAAAGAGCAATATCGCTCTGTGATTCGATTCTTGTTTTTGGAAGGGAAATCGCGCAGCGAAATCAAAGAGCGCTTGGATGCTGTGTACGGGGACTCTTCTCCTTCGATAGTGACCCTCAAAAATTGTTTTAACGAATTTCAACGTGGTCGCACGTCGGTTTTTGATGAGCCACTCCCAGGTGCCCCGAAAACGGCTACCACGGAGGATAAAGTGACAAAAATCCACGATCTCGTATTGGCAGACCGCCATGTCAAAAGACCGCGTGGGTCATATCCTGCATGAAATTTTGGGCATGAGAAAGCTGTCGGCGCAATGGGTGCCGCGTTTGCTCACTCCGGACAACAAACGCAACCGTGAGACCACTTCAGAGCAGTGTTTGACGCTGTTTAAGCGCAGTCCGAAGGGGTTTCTGCGTCGTTTCGTGACTGTCGACAAAACATGGATCCACTGGTACACACCAGTGGAACAGGAAGAGTCGAAACAATGGACTTTACAAGGCGAATCTGCTCCGAAGAAGGCAAAGACTGTCCCATCGGCCGGAAAGGTGATGGACACCGTTTTTTAGGATTCACAAGGTGTGATCTACATCGACTACCTGGAAAAGGGCAAAACGGTCACAGGGCTGTACTATGCCGAATTATTGGGCCGATTCGCCGCCGAATTGCAGAAAATACTGCCCCATTTGGTGAAGAAAAAGTGCTCTTCCATCATGACAACGCACCGGCTCACACTTCCGCCCTCGCCAAGGCCAAATTGGTCGAACTGGGCTACGAACTGCTACCCACCATATTCTCCAGATTTGGCCCCGTGTGACTTCTTTTTGTTTCCAAACTTGAAAGTCACTCGCTGGACAGAAATTTGCGTCGAATGAGGAGGTCGTCGCCGCCACAGGGGCCTATTTTGCAGACCTCGAGAAAACGTATTTTTCAGACGTATTTTTCAGTGTATCGAGCTAAAAGGAGATTATGTTGAGAAATAAATCGCCACTTTTCCAAAATTTTTGTTTTTCTCTTGGAGGCTAAGTACTTATAGAACCACCACCAACCAAAAAAAAACGCCCCAGGAGGTCATGGCAGATAAAAAAGAACGCCTAATCCATGCTGTTGCCCATTATTGTGGGACTTGATATACAGGACACAATCCCACAACAGGGCAAATCCGATAAAAATTGAAGGTGCCGGAGGAGATCCACTTGAGACTCCTAGTTAGGAGGAGCATGCCAAGTGGGACTTCGCTCCCTACATGCACTTCTTGCCGGCCGTGACTCAGCAAAGAAAGTACGTTGTGGTCAAAAGAACTTGTTTACGTTGTACTGATATAAGCATATTTTTAACAGAGCCACCAGTAACACGATCCCCGACGAACTCTTCAACGTGGAATCGCCGGACTTCAGCGCCTATTGCCAGCTAAAGCAGAGCTAGAGGACGTGCTTGCTTCTATAGGGAGAAGGGAAAAAAGTCGCCCGCTAGGGGACTGTTTGAGGAGCCATTACCAGCCATTGTCAGGATTCTGGGCAACTTCCTACAGCATCAGCGGAAAAACCCCATTCCCAATCCATCTCCAACTCCCTTAACGCCCATATCGGATCTGGACTGGAGGTGTCGCGGAGAAGATGGCAAAGCATCCGCGACCCGAGAAGAAAGAAAAACTACTAATTATCATAAATAAAAACATCCTTTAAA